ACTATGGACAAGTCCATTTGTGTGCAAAACTGCATAAACTGAAAAGTATAGTCTTTATCGCATACACATACAGATGGCCCATGATCAGTACTTCTCCTACTATAGTAGTAATAATAATAAGGTAATGATATAAAAAATAATAACAACAACAAAAACGATGTTTCAATATCACTTTATTAACACTCCTGTTTATTAACAAAGGGAGTAATAGTACATAGTAGCAAAGAGAAAAAGCCCATGCCAGTCTTTTATAATACAATAATGAAAATAAATTTAAATGATAATATGCCTTATAATGAGAAAAATAAAAAGGAAAATAAAGAGAAGAAAATTTATAACGTCTCCTTTCTTAAGAACATGTAGGCCCTAAAGCTGAAGCAATAAGCCTATGTAGAGAATGCAATAATAATTTTGCTACAAAAGATTTGCAAGTGGCAAAAGAAGTCAATGTAGCTCAATTGAACAGAAACGGTAACATCACTTACAATTCACAAACCAGGAAATGTAAGAAAGATGGAAAATAAGTGCTGATAACCTAACATATTAGTATACTACAGTTCCTTTTTTCCAGAAAATTGAGAAGATCCTAATTTCTGATTCCGCATGCATGCTCTGATAGATTTATCCCACGATGAAAGAGGAAAATGACTTTGAATTGAAATGAAAATGTATAGCTAAGACTGACATATCAAATCAAATTTAACTGTTCTCATGATCATTCAGAATTTGAGACTTCGGTGATTATGCCTTAGTTAAAGACTAAATCTGTAGACCACCGAGTGCACCATCCGCAGTATTAGTGTCGTGTGCAGAGCGGATAGTCTGGCAGATAAGACCCTGTGATAAGCCCCCTCATAAATATTTTGTACGAATTGCGTCAATTATGTATTTATTTTTGACAATACAAGTTAAAGTAGCCGATACAAAATAGTTGAATGTGTTTTGTATTGCAGACGTGACCTGTATAATTTTCATTAATCATTATTAGTTTTATGCACTCGGAACATGAGACCACACGCACAGGTCTGCTCTATAATATATACAAGGATAGTAAGGGGGCGTGGTGCGGTATATGAATATTCATTATGTTATTGTGTGCACTCGGGGCACCACAAAACAAGCTGTGGCTCGATTGCAAATTTCGACGCTCCTGTGTTCATAAATGACAGAAAAATACAAAGAACTTTAATTTCTAGAGGATTGATGTTCATTAATCTCCACATCATCAGGGATGATATCATTTTCGGAGTTAGGTCTGATGATCTAAATATTAAATAAACATTAATAGATCTTTAAGGTCGCATGTACTTTATGTAGTTTAGGTTATACAGGTTAAAACAAATCCTGATGAGTTTAAGCACAATCTAATATTAATGACAAACTATAACAAAACGTTAACAAATAACTAACATAATTATATCAACAATAAAGGCGAGTCGGGGAGGGGCTTCTTTTTTTGAAGGGCCTACTGGAAGGTCGATTTGGGGAAAACAATGCACATTTTAGGAGAAATTTTAAATCGGATGTATTCTATGTGATTTCATGCAGCTGCTAATATTTTTACAAAGTCAAAGTAAAACGTGTCACATCTCTCAGATGTGAATTGGGGCAATTATCAGAGGTGAAGGGGCATTTTTCAGAGGTAGTAGGGCTCTTACCAGAGATGAAAAGGGGCATTAATGATAATGGAAAAAGGAAACGTATTGTAAATGAAAAGGAGCAATTGTCAAAAGAAAATGGGTTGGCCTACTTATCAGATGTGAATAGGGGAATTTATCAGCCTGAAAAGGGGCATTTATGAGAAAGATAAGGGGCTTTTATTTACAAAAATTGGGGGGGGGTAGGCCTACTTATCACATGGAACATGAGCGATTAATAAAATGGAAATGGGGCACATGTCAAAATCGAAGAGGCACTTATTAGAAGGGAAAGGGGCACTTCTTACAAAGGAAGAGGGGCAATTGTCAAAGTAAAATGGGGGCACATTTCCTATGTAAATAGTGTCATTTTGAGGCTACCTGAACAAATTTGGCGGTTGCACCGTGCCCCTCGGGAGTGCCACCTCTGATTATGATTAGCAATTTCAACAATTCAATAAATCCTGATAATTTCAAAACATACAATAAAATTATTTATATTTGATACATACTGTGAATGGTAACGTCCAGACACTTTTCAGTAATACTGATATTCCATGAATAGTACTCACTTTTCTTACGGAATAGAGGTGTGGGGAGCACTTACAAGACTAGCCTAAGAAGTATATTATACTCACAGAAAATGGCAGTTCGTGCTATAACATTTAGTGAATGGAGAACTCCTTCAGATCCATTATTTAAAAGATTGCGAATCCTAAATGTGTATAAATCACATGATTTATCCATTTCTACTTTCATGTTTGATCTAGTCAATGACCGTTATTTGCATCATATTTTGATAGAGTACTGTGACATTATAGAACATAGTTATTCCACAAGACAAAAAGAAGGTGGACAATCACGTCTTCCAAAATTAAGAACGACACAAGGTCAATTTTCATTGTCTTTTGTGGGCTGTGAATTTTGGAATAGATTACCTGTTGATGTCAGATTGACAAGGTCTAGAAACAGGTTCGGAATTCTGTTACAAGTCATTTGTTGAACAAGTCATGAATGAAATATCAAGTGTACACCATTCATAATCCATATGTTACATTATTAGTTTGATTATTGTAAGACATTGTTGAGTATTGATTCTTGTTTGGTTTTTTTAAGTATCGATTGTAAAAGTAAATTCATTATTTTTTTTTTTTTTTGGTTACGTTCTCTAAACTGATTTGTACCAAAATACTTTGTTTAGCTGTTTAAGGGGTTAGGCTCGACTAGCACATGTGCTATTATCTGGCCCCTTTTACCAACCAATAGTTTCTCTTCTTTTAGATGTATATGTAAATTACTGTATGAAATGTATTGCTGTTGCTGTTGGTATATAAATAAATCAAATCATATCAAATACACTATATTTAATGTAATTCCTCAGAAGGCTTCTGTATTTCTTCACAGAGTTGGCATAACCGGGAGGGGCCATATACTCCAGGCCTACTCCAGGTTCAAAATACTAATAGAGGGAATCGGTCGAGACTTCCATTAAATTTCGAAAGATTAAACATGACTACCCTCTTTCCGAATAACTTATTATTCCTACCTGCATAAAATGGAATTGCATTAGAATATTTAGGTGTCTTTCATACAGTCCGAAGCCTATTTGCAAATGGTGATCCATAACATACAGGCATTATAAATAGTTTATTTTTGTATGGTTATTCAGCGAATTTTAGAAAACATGAGCAGTTCAACATTATTTATCCATCTAGAAGCCACACAAGGCCGGTCACATGATTCAAGCCAGCCAAACTCAGAAAAACTGCCCGCACTTAATACTGTACGTGTCACGTATTTAAATAACATTGAATATTCAAACTATTATTCGTGTGCAATAATGAGGGCGAGCATGCAAGCACTACTCGAGTGCAAACCCAACCCCTCTAGTCTCTACTTAAGGTGTTTAAATCTTTATCTCAAAGTATGACAGAAAAGAGATCATAATCATATAGTTGTATCCCTCCCCCTCTCCCCTTCCCCCTTGGGGTAGGGAAGGCGAAATTTGAGAAAACAATATAATTAAGCATTATTCATTCATGTATTCTTAATACGTCCATGCTCAATTTTTTGCATTTCGTGTGGAACAACGAGTAAAAAGTATAACCATGCAGTTCATCCTCTCGTCTCCTCGTCAGGCGTTTTGATTCTATTTTTAAGAGATATCTTCAGTGATATCGAACCTTCTTCTCTGGTATTAGGGGAGGAGCGTATATTATAGTGACACGCGAATGTGTGTTGTCTGTACATGGTGGGGGGGGGGGGGGGGGGGAGAGGGGTCATGTCGTACATAGTTATCGGTGTTTTTTTTTTTTTTTGCCCGGGGTTGATTTGTTGTTGTTATTGGATGTTAGTTTTGTTTTAATCGATTAGGAGCGTAAGCCTTGAGAACGTGTACATGCTTGTACCATAATTATGAAAGAAGAATTAAAGGGAAGGAAATTTTCCAGTATCAGCTGGGAGATATATTCAGACTGCCTCGATATCTATTACCTTCTTCTTTAAAAGCTTGGTTATTTTGTATCATTATTATTATTATTTATTTGACCAATCGGAAAACATACAATGGTAAATATCGTAACATTTTCCCTTAATATGCCCTTAAACTTCGTAGCTGTAGTATGCTGGGTCAATCATCAGGGGCAGATTCGGGATACCTTTGGACTGAGATGCTGATGCCTGGTGTGTGTATAGGACGATGGCAATTTGACTGGGGGTAAGTGTCTCTAATACGCCCTAGGAAAAATTTACAGGTCATTTAATATGGAAAAATATTACGTTGATCATCATAACATGATGCAGTGAACACCATGAATATTTCGAAATGGAGGGATTTCTGGCGGAGATATCCGGGTCGGGAATCATTTACTTTACCCCCCCCCCCCTTTTTTTTTTCTTCTTCTCCTTCTTCTTCTTCTTTCATTTCTTAATCATAGTATTAATCATTTGCATATCAATTATTATACATGCCTATATAATGTGCTACATGATTTTGAAATACTTTATGGAAACCTTACGTTAACAGACATTGACACAAAGTTGACAGTGTTACCTTTACTATTCACTTTCGTACTGTTTCAGCATGTGACACCATGGTTTCAGCAACGCTTTTTTCTTTGAGGGCGAACGTTTTGGGGGAGGGGAGGGCATCCCCCGGCGCTTTTTTCTTAAAATGATTTTTGCTTCCCTTCCATATCCCTTATAATTATTATAATTTATCCGACACGAGCCTGTCATCACCATTCCTGATAAAAGCGTGTGCAAAACTAGAAACGCCCACCTAGATCAAGCTTAGGGTTACGGGGAAGAAAAAAAAATCGCCTCCTGCACACCGCTAACAGGTTGTCTAGCTCGTGCTTATACGTGGTGTGTTTACCTATTTTTCTTGCACACGGATCTTGGAGTGAAAACACATAAAACCCCGAATTTCACCAGTTTTTGTCATAAGCTGCACGAAGTATTGAGTGAAGTCTGATTGACATTACCTTTTGAAACGTACAACTCGAGTTCAATTTCATCACCATGCCTGATGTCAAGTGTGTCTGCTGCAAGGGTAAGAAAACAGTCGAAATCAATGTTTTGATTTTCTCATTAAAATACCCAGTTACCGTATACAGTGTACGGTGCGTTTCTAATTCTAGAAACAAACCGCTCGATTTTATTTACGTGCATACGATACGGCCATGGGACTTTTAGATTCGCACGAAGACAATGGGGATTGCTACGATCGACGTCCTTTTAATGCACTGCCTTGAATGGACGTCACACGTATCAGTCCACACAAATCTAAAAGTCCCTAATGCAGCCTGTCTGCAATGTAGACAGTGCGGTATGAAATAGGGTTCGTCCTTTTAATCATAATGATTATTACACAGAATTACGTAATATCTATTCATCGAGGCAAATATTTAGGTAGAAAGGGAGGGGGTATATAAGGGGTATATACATTCTTAGTTACTCATTATGAATATATATTATGCTAATGAGACTAGTTTATAGTCTGAGTTACAGACCCCAAAATGAGTGTCGAGTGCAGATGTGCACATGGACATTTGCATTCAACTGTGTTCCAAATGTATGTGACAAATGAGTTATTTCATGTTTTCTTGCCCTTTTTTTCATTCTTGTTACATCAACAGTTATGTCAATAACTAAGTATTTACCAACAAGCACTGATGGATTTGTGGTTTCAAATTCAAGATTGTTATTACTTTTATTATATTTTATATTATTATTATATTTTTTTAAATTCTGAACACAGAGGGAAATGAGTGTGCCTGCAAGGGACAGAATTGCTGTACAACTGGTGAATGCTGCAAGGGTGGAACCTGCTGCACTTGGAAATGCTCAAGTGAGTCTTTCATCATTTTCAGTGAACCCTAAAAATTAAAGTACCTCCTAGTAATTAAGGATTTTTATACTAAACTCTTTACACAAGGCTTTTAAAAGTATTTATATATTTATAGAAAAAAATTGTTCCAATTGCTCATGCGTTTTTTTAATTTCTTTATACTCTCACCTTTAAATGGGTGCAGGCTTAAATGTCAGACAAAATGGCAATGATTATTTGTGCTCAATATCAATATTCTGGTGTACCGGTATCCATGTTTGTTTGTTTTGTTTTGTTTTGTTTTTTGGGGGGGGATCTGACAAAAATATTGACAGCCAAGATACAGGTCTATATGATTTGTCAGGGAGATATGAATTTCACATCTCCTAGGTTTTATTGTTGTTGTCACCTATTAAATTATTTTAAAAATCACTGACAAGCTTAAGGAAAAGGATGTTGAAAATAGTTTAAAACATGTTTATCTCATTTTCCTGGTGAATTTTGGGTCTGCCAAGTGAATTGGGCACAAATGTGTGCCTGCACATATATATATACATAAATATATATATATATATATATATATATATATTTTTTTTTTTTTTTGGGGGGGGTTGCATTTTCCATGTATGCCTAAATGAGGGGCACAGACCAATTGTGCCCATTATATATCCTGCTGTGTAGTCTACATGAAAGAGAAATGCAGTTATACCAACAATAGAGTAGAGACATTTTGATTTGATGTTATTACTTGGTTTATTTTATTTGTCCACAGATGCGGCATGCAAGACGTGTGCTGATGGCTGCAAGTGTGGAAGCGGCTGCTCATGCACTGAGGGGAACTGTCCATGCTAGATGAGCTGGGCCCTTTGCTATAGGGATGGCAGGTGAGTTTGTATTAATGTTCATGGCTATAAAAAACGTTTGCCAGTCATAATAGATATTACAGGGTTTGAAGTGTAAGACTGTAAATGTGCACTGCATCAATAGAACTTCTGTTTTAGCTCCTTGTGTCTGACATATATTTAGCTAGAGGCAAAGTTTTATGTAAGTTATATGTAAACTAAATGAATATGTACAATATCCGGAGCGGCTCTCATATGAAATGAAATGGAACAATTGTCAATGAATCAATTTGAATATTGATCTAATGTTCATTAAAATGTCAATAAAGTAATACACAAAAAATAAGATTGACATTACTGCATTGTGATATATAAAAAAGGCCAATTAGAAAATCTTTGCAAGTTATGACAATATGTATAGACCTTCCTGTCTTTCATGACTTTTGTATATTTTTTTCAACAACCGGAACAAATTCATTGACTATTTCTGTGTTTTCATATTTTTTCGTACAAATATTTTCAAGCATTTTGTTTTTCTCTCCGTGTCTGTTTCTCTTCTACAGATTGAGCATACAGCTGATGAAGTCACTCAGCGCATCTGCCAACATGCTCCAAGCAGACATGACTTTGTATATACTTTCGACCCGATGTTTTATATTTTTGTTGTAAGATAGTTGTACATGTATATTAAATTAATTTAAACTTTATTTTTTCTGAAATATGAGACTTATTGGCATTAATTGGACTACTTAAAAAACAGTAATTAATTAAGGCCGACAGTAATCATAATACTAATACTCGGTTTTATATAGCGCTTATTAGAATCACTAAGCGCTTCCAAACTTGGAGAGTATTACCCCAGCTTTAGCTGTGCTGCCATGATAGAATTTTTCTCCATTTGTTACTGCCCTGTATTGTAAATTCTTCAGTCTGTTTCTAACTTTTATCAAATTGTCAAATTTGGAATGAAGATAATAATAATATAGCGTATTTGTAATGCGCCAACTCCACATTACTAATGTGTTCGAGACTCACCTATGATTAAATTTCAATAATACTACAATGTACATTCAGTATGGGTTGCTTATTTTCTCTTATGATTTATTTGGGATGGTATATACTGAGGAAATATTAAGTAGATTTATTGCGGTACTTTGAAGAAAAGAGAGATGTGTAATTTAGAGAATTGAGTGCTGCAGAGGAAATGTGGGGAGAATGGAGATTACATAAGAAGCTCAAAGGTTGAAAGAACAACTATAATAGCCTCGGTAATTACAAACTAGCAAGAGAAGGAGTTCGGAGGCCAGAGTTATACATGTACTGCGGGTTACACAGAGAGAGGGAGAAAAAAAAAGGAAAAAAAACGTGTACGGGAGAAGGGGAGTGAGTATGACCAGATCGGAATGAGAACAGGGAGAGAGAGAAAGAAAACAAAAAGACGTGGACAAGAGAGAGAGAGTATGACCAGATGGGAGTGAGAAAAAGGAAAGAGAGAAGAAGGAAAAAAAGACGTAGACGAGAGTGAGTATGACCAGATAGAAGTGATAAAAGGGAGAGAGGGAGAGAGAAAAGGAAAAAGAAGAAGACGGGGACGAGAAAGAGAGAGTTAATATGACCAGATGGGAGTGAGAAAAAGGAAAGAGAGAAGAGGGAAAAAAAGACGTAGACGAGAGTGAGTATGACCAGATAGAAGTGATAAAAGGGAGAGAGGGAGAGAGAAAAGGAAAAAGAAGAAGACGGGGACGAGAAAGAGAGAGTGAATATGACCAGATAGGATTGATAAAAGGGAGAGAGAGAGAGAGAAGGAAAAAAGACGTAGACGAGAGGGAGAGAGTATGACCCGATGGGAGTGAGGAAAAAAAAGAGAAAGAAAGAAAAAAAGTCGTGGACGAGAGTGAGTACGACCAGATTGAAGTGATAAAAGGGAGAGAGGGAGAGAGAAAAGGAAAAAAGAAGAAGACGGGGACGAGAAAGAGAGAGTTAATATGACCAGATATGAATGAGAAAAGGTATGAAAGACGGTTGGACGAACGGATAACGTCAATATGAAAATATAATGGCAAACGTAAATCTAAGACTCTTTTCCCTTTTCGATAACATGTGCCCCTAATTTCAGTTGAAAGCAACTAATAGCGAGTTTCCCCTTTAATCCCCCCCTCAAAGTTCGCTCGCTTGCATTTATAGTTGATAAAATGATGTTACTTTCATGATTATGTTATGCTTAACTTCCAATTAGGATTAGTTTTTTTTGTGTGTAATTTTTCGCACTGCGACTCCACAAATCGTATCCCAGCATCAAAGTTTAATGCTTAATCAGTATCTTGGACCACATAAAGACAGAAACAAATATTAAATTATCACCCCAATAATCACAATGTAGGGGTATATACTAATGTACATATAAAAGTATATTTTCGCTTTGATGTTTCCCTTTGTGTAGGTCTCCCTTTTTGTTGTTGCCCCCCCCCCCCCCCCACACACACACACACTTTTGAAGACACCCCGTCACCCTATAGGGGACACCCTCTCCCAGACCTTCCCCTCGAAAGGGTCAACCTCATTTTACCTCATAATGTCTGAACCCCCCCCCCTTCCCCAACTAAAATCCGCCTATAGACAAGAGCCTGATTACGAGCTTTTAAGAAATGTTTTAATTCATCCTGGGTCAACCCGTCAAACACGTTCGTTCCATTACGCTACTGCCCCATTTTACAAAACTTGTCATCAGTGACAAATGACAGTTTTTGTTATAAGCTATAGTGAAATCCTTGCGTCTGATTGATTATCAGCAGATTTGTCACTGATTTGTTGCATTTGTCATTGAAAAAGGCTTTGTGAAATGAGGCCCAGGTCTTGCATACACTATAGCATTCATAAACATTAACAAGTGAAAGCTCCTATATCAAACTTTTACAATATTTTATTATTATTATTTCACAAATGACATTTTATTGCACTTTATATTATATAGGCCTGTGTCCTCAATGCGGTTAAACTCTATTAAAAGTAGACCTTGATTGTGGTAAAAAAAAGTCGATAACTTGATGTAATATTTCCCTTGTAAAACCAGAGATGGAAAATAAATTGCCATTTGCAAGGTAAATGGTATACGCAATTTCCTGTAATAAAGACAATAAAGGTCTCTCTCTCTCTCTCTCTCTCTCTCTCTATTATTGTGCTCGACTGCTGTTTAGCAGGTTTTAAGCACTTAAACACACCTTTCTACTCTGATCTTGAGGTCTGTCCTTCATCTTTTGGTATGTATCGATCATTTGCTCTGATACCATGTATTAAAACATCCTAATTATTTTCTTTCACCTCGGTCTATTTCCTTCCATCCTTCCCTCGATGATATCTCTCAGGAGTCCATCATGCCGTAGGATTGATAAGATTGCCATATTCCTCGCGGCCCTACCGTCTATCTGGAAAAAAAAATTGTCACTCTATTATATCCACCCAACTTATCTTTTTCATCTTTCTCCACATCCACATTTCAGAACTCTCCAACCGTTTTTTTTTTAATGTCACCTGTTTTTGGAGTCCATGCCTCTGATCCATAGGCATAGAGCAGCACACTCCAATCCACAGTTTTCATCGGTCACTTTGTTATTTGGTGAGAATTTGATGCTTACGGAAGGAATCCCGTTAAGGGGGTAGGCCTGTATCATATTCTGATAGGAGGCCTATATGTATTTTCCGTGACGTTCTTAACTTCTTACACACATTACTAGAACCATCAACATATCACATTGACCTGAACTAGAAAGTAAGGAAAAAGCTATTTACTGCGATTACTCCCCCACCCCCCTGAATATAACGGCTCGATCTTGTCTGACCTTATGTCCATTTGACTATACTGAACCCTAAGCCCTACCCGACAGGGCCCTGCCATCCCAAACAGAGAACTGCCAGACTTTTCAAGTATCATATAATATGTGCCCTCTTGGTTTCTGACATTTTTTTCTTCCATTTTAATTAAATAGTAAACCATTTTCCTTATCTGTTCTGATAAGGGCCATTTTTCATTTCCCCGGGACCTGACCCCCCCCCCCCCCCCCTTATTTTTTTAGTAAATAATTACGTCTATAATCAGCTAATAAGCTGTGTTGGATGGAAGTCTTCAAAAATCACCAATAATTACACTGTACCTCTTTCTCACTCCTTGCCACATGTCGCTCCTCACAAAAAGTACGCCGGTGGGTAAACAGTGGCGGATTCAGGGGACACAGGGGGCACGTGCCCCCCCCCCCCTCCAGTAAAAAAAAATGGGGAAGGGGGAAGGGGGAAAAGAAAAAGGGAGAACAGGAGAAAAAGGAGGGGAAAAGAAAAAGGAGGGGAAAAAGAAAGAAAAGGGAAGAGAGAAAGAAGGAGAAAAGAGGGTGGAGAGAAAAGGGGAGAGGAGAAAAAGGAGGAGGAAAGGAAGAAAGGGGAAGAGAGAGAAGAGAAAAGGCGGGAAAAAAAATTAATACCTAAAACCCCTGAGCTTGTGGGGGCTCCGCCTAATGGACCCGCATGTAAGATTGGTGGTGATGCAGATTTTTTTCCTGTTTAGTCGATCCTTCACGCCTGCCCCCCCCCCCCCCCCTATTGAAAAATCCTGGCTACGCCTGCCAGTGGGGTAACCAGGAGAAAGCAATTTTACGTCATATTATTACTCCAGGAAGTGCCTTAAAAATGCGTCTATTGGGGTTGCAAATGCATCCTACTCAGGAAGGGGGTTCTGTGACCCATTAGAGAGCGGCATCCCCCCCCCCCCCCACCCCCCCCCCCCCCCCCCCCACGTACGCGCACCGCACATTGACCGTGTGATGATTAAGACTGTCCAAGATTGGCCGCTGAGGGCGACATTTGTTTACATTTCAAGTTCATTTCGCGGGCGCGGGAAACTCAAAGTTCATTTGAAAGGGGGTTGGGTAAACGAACTTTTGGACAAGTTTAGACCTGTGATTTGACCAATGAGATGTCAGATCAACAATACAAAACGTATACGTCATGTTAATCATATGAGGTCATAGAGTTTTCTTGGAATCCCCGCGTACGTTGACGATCATTGTTACGTACGGCGGGGGTGAGCTTTTACACTATAGTTTTTCATCATTTTATCAACAAACTTTTTATAGTATTATCACAAAAAGTCAAGAGTTTTAAAGGGCTGGTGGCATTCTGTTTTAAGTTGTCAAAGTGTTTTTCCTAATCCCTTTTTTTTTTGTCTCTATGCTTCCTACTTTTTTATCTGTCAATAACTCTCATCTTATCATCGGCCTCACTTAACCCCTTTCACACCATCACTGTGGCCCCACCCCTTTAATGTCGTGTAAGCACAGGCCTGGGAGTCAAGGTGGGGAGGGGGGAGGGGGATTGGAGGGGGGTGGGGGGTTGGATGAGCATTTGGCCCATTTGGCAAAGCTTTGTAGGCTTTGCGGCCAAATGCTCACCAAACACCCTGCATCATTTGACATAGCTGATTATCTTGTTTTAATAAGTAAGTTTGTTTCAGTAGAGAATGATGAGCCCCACATCCATCCTAAGGGATTTTGCAAGGGGTGCTACACTGGGATGAAATCGCCCAGAAACAAAAAATGGGTGCCAACAGCTATCTGGGCACCACACAGACGAAGTCAAACCTGTGTGGTGTGTTCCCATTCTAAAAAAATGTCAGTTGGAGGGCGCCCTTCTAAGAAAAAAAGCACAGGTCGTCCCAGGATAGACCGGTCACTTCATGCCACCCTGGACTCCTTGAAAGCTAATTCAAGGGTGCCCGACATTGCAATTGATGATGAAGTTTTGTTTAAAGAGAGGTTTGGGGTAGCCAATGACAGTCAATTTTGTTGTAGAGTATGTGAATGTGTCTTTGTTTGTCCTGTTTCAACACCTTGTCAACATTTGTTTTGTATGTCTTGTGTACAAAACTTGTTTGGGTCCGATTCTCGTGTAAATATTTCATGCCCCACCTGCCATTCACACGTACATTTCCAGTCACTAACTCCAGCACCCACATACTTCCATAACATTCTTAAAAAATCAGACATATCATGCAAGCAATGCAACACAAACCTCACTTATGACATAGCCACACATCACAGCCATCCTTCACACCATCCAACAATCACACATACTGATCACAAACAAACCACTGACAACCTCATAAGCCAACTCACCCCTCAGCAGAAGGAGGAAATTGGTACCGTACTACTCCGAGAAAAATTACGTACTTCTAATGATGGTGCTACTGCTGTATTTAGAACAAAAGGACAAGTAAGTCACATCTTTTTTTCCTTTTTTTTCAAATATCTTTCATACTTACAATCTGCTGGTATTAACATTACATGTATCCAAGATTAAAAAAAATGAATAGATTTAAGGGAGCTAATCATCAAATGAACTGTATTAAATTTTTATGCAGGTTTGCCATCATGTTAAACTTTCACAGTGAACAAAGGTTATATAAACATGGTGAGATGATAACCTCACCCCCTGGTAAGTTTCACAACTGTCCTGTAAGGATAAATTGTTAAGCTACTAAATTTGTCCTATGGTCAAATGCAATTATAATATAAGGTTAAAGGGACAACTTCTCACAAAGGGAACTGTATTTAAGATTAAAGAACACAATACATGGCAGCACAGAAACCGTAATATATCATTTTAATCAAGTCTTGCTCTAATTTAGTTGATATCATGAAGGGAAAAAAAAATCATTTGCTGATCTTTGTCGACATTTAAATGATTTCATTTCATATTTTGTTTTTGTGCCATGTGGAATACCCCTTCCAAAACTTTCCTCTTCTATTTGTTCCCCATCATGAAAACTGGGTCATGATCTCTACAACAAATGTTGTACTATAATATTAAGATAATCATTTTAACTTTTTTCCCTGCATTTCTTCACATATGAAAAGCCCCTGGTTACGAAACTGATAACTAAGCCGAGAATAAGCTCTGCAGACAGCACTCCATCAACAAGGCGGAGAAGGAGCATGCAACTTGCTGCCATCCGGGATGAGATCTCCCACTCACCAAACGTCCAGTTTAGGCACGAAGTCTCCAGGGCTCACAAGGCAGGGGCTCTGGATGACCCATCCTCCAGCGTCAAAATCAACGACATAGACATGGTCAATATGAGGTCCATGCTTCGGCTAAGCTGGAAGATGACAAGAAAACTAAAATCGTAAGGAACACATTTTTGGCAGTGGTACTAGTAGTCTATGTACTTTTATCATTTAACATTCTTATTAAATATCAGTTTGTGACAACATTAATTCTTTTTAAGAACTTTACGTTTTGCGGGGAAGAGGGGAAAAACCAAGAAGTCAAGCAGTTAATAATTTTGTTATTCTCTTTTTCAGATGGCTTAAGGAACACAACATTGCTTCCGATTGTGAAAAGAAGGTGCGGGCCCAAGAGGCGAAATTGATCGGGGACAACCTGGAGGGGGAATGGGTTCCCCTCCAATTCCATAACGAGGAGAGGAAGGAGACGGAGATTATCAAGACTCCACTCGTCAAAGTTTCCTCATTGGAGAGGAAGGTCATGTCCCTCCTGGACGAATACGAGAAGTAAGTCACTATACCCACTAATGTTTTTATTACTATCTGCAATATTACTCCATAAAATATACATTGCTTGTTCGGATAGTAACAGCAAATCTAACATTCATTTTCCCATCTCTTCTCCACAGGCTGAACCTTCTATCCTTTGACGACACAGGAGGGGAGGTATGGTTAAAGGTTGGCGGTGACAAGGGAGGTTCCTCCTTCAAAATGATGATCCAAATCGCCAATGTGTCCAAGCCCAACAGTGTCCAGAACACAATAATCGTCGTGATGTTTAATGCTGTAGATAATATTTTTAATCTACAGCTGGCACTGCAGGGGTTTTCAGCCGAGATAGAACATCTCACAACTACAACATGGAGGTACAGTTGTCTTTGTCTAATATTTACATACCATATATATTTGAAGATAATGATTGATAGTATCCTGCAGGCAGAGGCTTTCTAAAATCCTGTAGAAAATGATATAAAAAAAATATAATATAATTATATACATGTAGATGAAAAAGATAAATAAGTATATAAATACCATAATGGAAAGTAACAGATAAAATGGTACGAGGATAAAAAACAAGAAAACAATGCATTAGTGCAATTCAAAACATATAAGGCCTCAATAATATGAAATGGTACATAATTCGTGAACAGCTGGCACAAGTTTAATTCAAGTCAACAATTCCTCTCTTCTTCCTCAGAGGCAGACCACTGCGAGCATTCCACTTTGGGGACTATGAGTACCTCTCCAAAATCTATGGCTTAACAGGTCCAAATGGTAAGTGCAATTTTAGAAGGAACAAAACTTATTTTTGCATGATTTGATATGGGAAGGGAAAATCATTAAATAAATGACTTTAATACTACCTTTATCATGATGTTCCCCCATTATCCCACATCAGGACAAATTTTAATGTATATTCATCTCCCCCCCCCCCCCCCCTCTATCAAGGTCGTCACTGCTGCCTCTACTGTCTTGTCAGCAAGCAGGACATGATGAAGCCAGCAACTGAAAGAGGGGAGAGACAGAGTAGGACTCTAGCAACTCTTGAGGAACACCTACACCAGTTCCAGCACTCTGGCTCCAAAAGTGCAAAGGACCACTTCAACGTAGTGCGGTAGCCCCTTGTTACAATCCCCATCGATCAGGTATGACAAAAGTTGTAATAAAAATCTAATTTCTACATATGACCATTTTTTCCTTTCAACATTCAATCAACATGCATGCAATTGATTCATTCATTTACTCTTTCTTTTCTTGCAGGTATGCCCCCCTGGCCTACACATCAGTCTCGGGTTGTTTTCGAAGCACTTTAACAGTATGGAGAAGGCATGCCACCAGCTAGACATCCAGACTGTGGCGTACCTCGCTCCCCAGGACGCCCCAAGCAACCTATCGAAGAACATGATCAACATGGTGGAGCGACATCGACTGGAGGCTATGCTGGCAGAGAAGGAAGAGGAGCGCAAGGATTTGATGGAGCAGCTATCAGGCTTCATTCTCCTTTATCCTGAGGAAGCTGCTTCTCAACCGGTCCAACTTCTCCAAGAATCTGTCAAGGAAAAGGATTCCGAGATAAATGATGTGGTGCGTATTGATTTCTTTTTATACACTGTATAATACATGTATTCAATAAAACTAACAGCTTATCCTCTCCCCTATTAAATCCAATTTGCTTGTATAGCTGATATCATTATAAAGTCTGAGGTTTCTCTTTGTCTTACCAATACAGAAAGTTGACCTGAACAAGTCATCAAAGGTTTCCGTAGCCAGTGGGATGATAGCAGCCAGTTTGGATCAAGCCTTGCAAGATATGCATGTGCAGAGACAGGCATATCACGGAAAGAGTTTTATAGGCAACCACGTTCACAAGTGCCTCAAAGTGAGTATAGTAGAGCCTCTTTTACTACAACTACAAGTGCATGGCACCAAATGTGCAAGTTGAAAATAACATGTGAAAAATTTAATTTTTTCTTCCTCACAGAATAATGGCCATAACTCTATTCTAATTGATATCATATCTTCATGTATCCTTACAGCCCGACAACATCATCAGACTTACGACAAGAGTAGCTGATACAATGAAACAGCCACTCATCAGGGAAGCAGAACGGGTTGCAGCTACGTACCGCAATCTTTTCACTCTCTTTGGTCGCTGTCATGTTGCCATCAACACATGTGGGTTTCTGAAGGACGACAAAATAAATGAACTAGGTAGATAAAGGTCTTAAAAAACTTGAATAAATTCATATTAAAAAATTAAAAGTAAACAATTATGCTTTTTACTCATGAGGCACTTTATAAATTGGTACTTGATACAAGGGAAGGGTATTTTGGGTATTATCCCCCCCCCCCCCCTCTGTCAATGCATACACTCCCTTGATCTGTCATGCACAACCAAATAAACTTGTACCTAATATGCTAAGATTTATTCATCATCAGAATCTTTAAGCCAAGAATGTAGAACAGAAAATGTGCATTTATAAACCCATACTCATTATTTTCTTTTCTACAGAGAGTAACATCAAGGACTACCTTCAAAACACAAAGAAAATACAATCAATTATCAATAATTCATTTAATTTACCCCCGGTCTCCAACAAAAAAAAAAAAATCTTCTGGGTGCCCATGCCTTGAGCCATAATGCATGGCCATACAGAGGATTTGTGATAATTTATTGCATTTCCTTTTTTTTTTTTCTTTTTTTTTGGTGGGAACTGCCCCCTACCCTAGCCCCCGCTGCGTGGTTCAGTGGCAAAGCAATGGCCTCGTAACTGTGAGGCCCCAGGATCAAAACCGTGTCGATGTGCTATATTTGTGCCCTTTTGTAGGGCATTAATCCTCATTACTGCCATTTATGACTTAAGAGCGTAGGTCCCCTAGCTGATAAGCATATTAGCATACATATGCTTTAGCAGTCGCGCAAAACAAACACTGGCAAATTATTATTCAATAAAATCTGAGAATGTATACTATCATCTAGATCTATTAGGAATAAATCATTGTCAAAATAATTACATAAATTGGGGTAAAAAAAAATATTCCAACGTTATGAGCGACAGTGTAGATAAATACGGCATTATGATACAGAATTAAAAGGTTTTCGAATTATATCACTGGAAGAAAACAATTAGTTCGTTCCAAGGGTAAGAACTCAGCTATAAAGGAATTAGTAGTTGGAGTTCCACAGGGTAGTGTTCTTGCTCCTGTCCTCTTCTTATTATTTATTAATGATATAACAAGGTATTAATAATGGAGTATGCTCTATCTATGCTGACGATGTAGTTATCTACAGTATGTTACTGGTGAAAATGTTCACAATGTTACTTTTAATTTACAAAGTACAGTGAATGTTTTAAATAGTTGGTATAATAGGAACCGTCTTAAGATAAATATAAATAAAACCAAAACAATGCTTATTACGACTAAGTCATCAGTACGTCTGGATATTTACATTGAACATGAACTCATTGAGCAAGTCCACTTCTATAAAGTATTATTATTCATGAAAACCTGAAATGGAATGATTATTTAAGAGAGTTTTGTAGGGCAGGTGCATACAAGATTTGTTTGCCTTGGAAAATTAGGAAAATTCTTAAACATGACACTGCTGAATACTATATATAAATCTACTATTCAACCTTGTCTTGATTACGGTATCTCAGTTTGGGGGTCACCGTCCTAATAAATTGAAATTACCCCTATTGAGACTCCAAAAAAGGGCAGCTCGCCACGTAACCGGTAATTACGATTATATTGATACTCCTGGTCTTGACCTGATGAAAAATCTACACTGATGTACCAATGTGTTGACGGTATTGCCCCATCCCGTTTATGCAATGAGATCGAAATGTATTTCGATAGACATGGACTAAAGACGCGTAATGCAAATTCCCTTAATGTTGTACCGCCTAAACCAAACATTCAACTTTATTGTCAGTCCTTAAAATGTGCCGGTGCTAAAGTATGGAATCTATTACCCCATAAATAAATTTATGCTCAGTCTCTAGAGATTTTCAAATCATTGTACAAAAAAAAAAAAAAATCGAATCCATTGAGATTACCTCAACCTCTAATCTGAAACCTTACATTTGCATACTCTCATATGACTATTTTATGTTGCCATTGTTATATGTAGCATTTATTTATATTTAGAATCATTGTTATTAAGGCCGTGAATTATTATACTACCATAATTTATTTGTATTACTATGATGTATTGTATATTTTACTTTGTTATACTTTGTTATTTAACTTTTTATATGATGTTTTTAATACCAGGTCCAAGATGGAAATCATATTTACTTCTGATCTTGTGTACCTGTATAAATATGTTTGAATAAATAAATAAATAAAATAATATTATTGAGATCTATTAGGAATAAATCATTGTCAAAATCGGTCTATAAGAGAGCAGCGCCTTACATCCTTTGGAAAAGGCGCTATGTATATATATATATATATACCGTATATATAAATCCAATTATTATTATTATTTTATTATTCCATAATTTGGGGTAAAAATAATTATGCCACCATTATGACCAACAGTATACATTCGAGTGCATGGAGATATATTGTGGTTATAAAGAGTAGGTCTACATCCTTTTTCCTTAAGAATGAGCTTTGTTCATAATGGCAATCGTTTAAGATTTGAAAGTCCCTTTTCAGCTCTGCATCCTCCAGGTCACGCCAGAAGCCGTACTTCTCTCCAAAACGAAACGATGTCAGAAGACCATTTTCTACACCGCGTTTAGAGTCCGAAAGAGCCAATAACTCAATCAGGGCCACCCAGTCGGCCATCTCGAAGCTTCTAATGCTGGGGCCGAAAGAACAGAGATTGGACAAACTGGTGTCATTTTCTTGAGGTCGAATATGCTCGTTTCGACCCGTCTCGAAGCAACCTCTTTTCCAGCAAGATGGTCTGGCTATGTTGAACAGGTGTGAAAAAACGAAAGTGAGTGACAACCTCACACCATCACCCCTCATCCTCTCCTGGGTCTTCAGATCCTCCTTGATCTTGCTAATCAAGTTGCAGCATTCGTGCCCTGGTATACTGCACGGTGAGAAGTTGCAGAAAATCTTGACGAATCGTATCGTTGGGATGTTGATTCTAAGGAACTCTATGATGCCATGTTCGGCATGGAAGAAGGGTGTGCTCTGTCTGATGATAAGTGCCTTTCTCCAATTAAAAAAAGTCACAAGACAGACACAAACAACGGGTTTCGACCAGCTGACTCTCATATTTCCGACGGTATGGAGTCCGCTCTCGACGAATATTTTCAAAATGTCCGCGCCGTTCAGCTCTGTATTGCTGATGTATTCCATCTTGTGTTAGACAAATCAACTTCGTACCCGGTTACGATCTTTATCCTGATGAAAAAATACACAAGTACACCAAATCAACTCAATTTCTAGCATAAACCCTTCAGTCTGACTTTAATATATTTTTTATCATTTAGTGTGATTTAAATTTTGTTTGATTTTATTGTATCAGTGCAAGTATATCAATGTATGTGAACTTGTTTTGTTTAATTGATAAACATAATTACGTGCCCTGGCTTTATTAATTTGACGCATTGTAACCATGCTTGAATTTTATGTAGTCGTCTTTTCAAACTGAAACGTGTTTTTGTGTTTTAATTAATTTGTATTATGTCACTTTCCTACAGGGTTCCCTCGAATAGGGGGGGGGGGGATGGGGGGGATATATCCCCCCCCCCAATATTTCAGGTGGGGGGGGGGGGTGGTCTGTACAATCATCCCCCCATTAATTCACCATCAACAAAAAAAACAAAAAAAAAAGAGAAAAATTAATGATGAGAGCCCGATGAGAGTAGTTAATGGTTATTACTCGCATGATGACCATCAATATACACATTTTGTGACAAGAATAAATTGAATTCTCGCTCATACGGCTTTATCGGGAATTGATGAATTCATTCAATTTGTTCAATCAACAGCATCATAGAAATGCAGTGCACCAAATGCAAAGACGCAGCGTCAAAAAGCAACGAGCTAAATGTTAAGCGCGAAGCGCAAAAGTAGCAATCTGCAATGCACATCAGACAATCCTGGACAGTGTAAACATAGATGAACTCTGTGTCGAATTCGTGATGAG